TCATCTCAAAATCGAAGCTGCTCTTACGGAAGTCAGGTGAGATCATCGCGGCGCATGCCCTGACGGTCAGTTGTCAGGTCAAGTCCCATTTTTATGTCATTGAAATGGCAGCTCGTCAACTCAAATTACCAACCTTTCTTAGGCCCTCATTTCAGATCTTCTGATCTGATCAAATAATCTGAGCTTTACTCCGGTCCTAGTGCAAATACGGTATGGCGGTATGGAACAACTTTCAAACATAAGATCTTTGTTTGAGAGTGGCGACATGTGGTGAACATCATAGGATCTAATGTTGGTCAGCTGATTGTATACGGATGTATTCCCCTTTCGTATGCAATCAAGCACTTAATAACCCGTTCTCACAACATCTAAGCTTTCATCTCAAGCTCATAAAATAACGGGCAGAATGCTTTTTTGCCATTTTCTGCGCTAAAAGATTCCACATAGAAGCTTTGCAAAAAACCACACCTGAATGCTGGCCGAGTGATCAAACTGTGGTTCCGATGTGCCTTTGACTAGTTCAGTTTTCTGGCGCCACAGTTCATTACCGAATTCTCCCAAAGCGACAATTTTGATAAAGGTGTCTGAAAATCAATAAAATCAATATATAGTATTAGAGAGTCAACAAAAAACAGAGAGTGACAAACCTGGTGGTCTACATTTATCACCAAGTGACGATCCTCGTTCGATACCGACCGTTAAACATCCATGATCAGTATCGTAGCATAGCGCGATTAGCAGCTGTAAAAACTCATTTTTAAACGGGATTCCTCCGAATTTTTCTGCCCTATAGGGCCAAAAAACATACCTCTGGAGCCCCATTAGTAGGTTGACTACAAAATCGCCCACATGCGTCGACCATACTGTTTCGTCGACTATCCCCGGATGCAACGCTACCATTTGATACTCGATGCATTGTTGGCGAAAGTCCAGACTGAAGAAAATTCTTTAGAAAATTTCGTAACTTCCACCCTCAAGTGGTTTTCCCAAGGAAAAGCAAAAAATGTTTGAAGGAGGCAGCCAAAAATAGAGCGGCAAGTAAATTTCCGAAGATGTATGAAGAAATAGAAGAGCTCTTGTCTATTCTGAGAGTCGGCAAGCAATTTGACTAGGAGGTCTCAAGTAGAAAAAAAAGAAGAAAAAAGACGGTCTTGTTTTTTTGCAGAGGAACTGAAAGAAGAGACTCCGGATTTTTTTCTTCTTCATGCAATGTGGGATGCAAATAGATGCGTCTGGAAAAGTGCTGCAAGAGTTTCAAGAAAATTCTGAGTCACAAATTTTCTTAAACCACTGCATTATATATCAAATTTTGGCAAAAAGCCGAAAAAGTAGAACTTTTATATATCACGTGTTATTTGACTAGGATGTACTAATCTATGTACATACATAGGCACATGTGCCACACACACACGAACACTTGACATTCTTTAATTGAGGAACTTCCGAAAATAGCGAGTTGAGGAGGGGTAAACAAGACTTTGAGAGCTTTGCAAAGGCTTTTGGGAAAAGCTAGGATTTATTCAGGCAAGGCAGAGAAAAGATGAGTGAGAGGGATGAGAGGATATCTGGGAGATTTGCAAGTTTTAAGTCTGATATTTGATAGTGCCATTCGTCATTTTGACCCCTTCTCTACGGACATTTTAAGAACTTCAAATTTTGATGTGATTTCCGCAAATATATTGCCGATTGCTTTTTCGAATTAATCTTATCAAATCTCAAAATTCAATCTAAACGAGTGTCACTAAATTGAACGGCTGTCCACTAGATGAGCAGAGATCATTGCATTTACTCTCATGGCAAAAGTCGTTCGTTTGAGTGACAAGTGGAACCTCCATCCTTTTAAAGCCCGGGTACCACCCAGTTTCCACCTAGAAAAAAAA